ATTAACCTCTGCCGCTTAAACTTGCCAGAACTAAATTATGGGCAAAACATTGGTGAGGTTTAAATGAGTAACTATATATATCTATCTATATATATCTATATATATCTATATATCTATATATCTATATATCTATATCTATCTATCTATCTATCTATCTATCTATATATATATAGCGAGTTTGGAACAAACCAGGCCTCGCTTGCTATTGTCAGTATGGAGAACCACAAACTTAAGGGATGGACCAGAGGCTGTGAATGAACATTACTAAGTTGTTTGTTGGGAAGGTAAGGATTGAAGACTTAAAATTGTCCAGTAAATTATATGTAGTTAGGGAACAGGCTGTACTACTGCTAATTAAATCGCTTAGAAAGGCATTTAAACAGTAGGGATTGGGACATGTACAGACTATCCTGCTGAATGCTGTTAGGTTTTGCACTGAGGCTTGATCTTATGTATTCTAGGCTTTGGTTGATGGACCTTGCACTCAAGTAAGGAGACAGGCTCTGCCTTTCAAATGCATGCAGCTCACTGACTTCATCCTGAAGTTCCCACACAGGTAAAACCCTCCTCCGGCTTTGTTTGTGCTAGAGCAGCGGTGGCTACTCTTTTGGACCTCGTCCGGGGACCATCGGTTGGCGACCACTGTGCTAGAGGACATTTTCTTGGTTTAATTTTTTTTTTTTTTTTAAGTTTTTGTTGTTTGACTAGTTTTCCCTCGAGAATATAGTGAACAGTGTTGGAAAATGGAGGCAATTCAAATTTCCAGTCGCCATTGTTTCCCTTTAAATGTGCTGGGATTTGGTAATTCTCTGGCTCTGCCTGTATGCAGATTAGCCAGCTTTTGTATCAGGATTTACACAACAAAGACTTTTTTTTTTTTAAATTCTGGTTTCCTGTTCATATTTTAATCACTTTTAGCTCCAAAACAAAAATGTAGAAAATTGCAGACATGATTTTTTTTTTTGAGCTATCAGAAATATTTAACAGCCCTAGCTAGTTTTGCTCAGTGGTAAAGAGTGTCTGCCTGCTGACAAAAAGGTCTCGGGTTCAATTCCCAGTCAAGTGTATGGACGTGAGTTGCATGCTTGATTTCTGGCCCCAGTAGGGGCAAGTATGGGAGGCTTCCATATCAAAGTTTCTCTATCCACCCCCCACCCCTCCAGTTTCTCTTTAAAAAGATCAATGGGGAAAATATTTTCGGGTGAGGATTTTTTAAAAAATGTAACATGCATCATTTTGTGACAGCTGCTGAAGTGGTTCTATTCCTAGCTACTTACAAGGAATTGAGAAAATCTTTCTTGACATGCTTGCGTAGACTATGGACGATAACTACTATGTTGCTGTACAGTTATCTCAACTACACTGTCAGGTGTAAAGGGACACCTACTGTAACTACAGGCTTACTTTAAAGTATGCTGTGTTTATTGTGTGTGTGAGATCTCAGGCATCCAAAGATGTGGTGTGCCGGGTGACATTTGTTCTCTAGAGACGAGAGCCAGAAGTACAACAAATGGAAGGGCACTTCTGAGATTATTCTGCTTATGCTTTTTAACCTGAGGGGGTGTCAGTTCTGCTTTTCAGAGGGCCAAAGCTGCCCTTGGGTTTGTGTTGCTTCAAAGCTGATTTCTTCATCTCTAGTCTTGGCTCTCTCTAGTGCCCGCCAGAAGTATGTCCGACAAGCCTGGGAGAAGGCCGATATCAATACAAAGTGGGCAGCCACAAGATGGGCCAAGAAGATCGAAGCCAGAGAAAAGGTAATAACTCCAGGCATGTGAATTCTGACCTTTTTCGGAGAGTTGGAAGGTGGTATAAGAGTTTGGTGTTTTGTTTTTTACAGAAAGCCAAGATGACAGATTTTGATCGTTACAAAGTAATGAAGGCAAAGAAAATGGTAAGTTTTTAAAATTAGTACAGGATTATGTTTTAACCTTGAATTTGTTTATAGGGTAATTCTGTTTGCCCATGCTTAATAGAGCAAAGTTGATTGATTACATGAGGGTCTTAAGACATTAGGGTTTTTTCTTATACATCATACATTCGTATATGACAATAGTTTTTGTATGCATGTGTTGTAAATACACTTACATTGGAATTTTTCAGAGGAACCGAATAATCAAGCTTGAAGTTAAGAAGCTTCAAAAGGCAGCTCTCCTGAAAGCTTCTCCCAAAAAAGCACCTGCTGCTGCTAAAGGTGCCGCTGCAGCTGCAGTAGCTGCTGCAAAAGTTCCAGGAAAAAGGTGACCGCTGCAGGCAAGAAGGCTGCAGCCCTGAAGGTTCCCGCTCAGAGACCCGCAGGCCAGAAGACGGCGCCTCCAAAAGCTCAAAAGGGTCCGAAAGCCCCAGGCCAGAAAGCACCCGCTGCTCCCAAGGCATCTGGCAAGAAAGCATGAGAACACGAGGGGCTACTACAGATGTATAATAAAGGTTCTTTTTAGCACGCTGCCTTCTGCTTAATGTGGGTGGGAGTCTGCTGCTGGGCAGGGATTGCCAAGTGTATTGATAGTGGGATGGTTGATGTTATTGTTCGAAGTCAGTTCCTTTGTCTCATTCTACCTGGTTTCAGATAGTATGAAGCCATCACACTAAGTGATAATTAGAACATCAGGTGGTTTTTTTCTTTGTTTTTTTTCTTGTACAAATATATTTCTCATATAAACAAAATTCTAGCAGCTTTGGATGCTTGAGGGTTAGTAATATATAAGTCTGGTTGCCTGTAATTTCTAACCAAAAGCTGACTGCCTAAACCTGACTGGGAAATGGTTAAGATCATTTTGGCTTGGTATTGTTTGTCAGGTGATAATAGTGTAATAGCTTCTGTGATAAAGGAAATGCAGGCAGTTTTGGGTTACCTGTTCTTGTGTGAGGGTTTGGGAGTTGTCTAGAGAATCAAAATTATACCCTTTTTTTGGGGGGGGGGGGGGGAGGTGCCACACAATTCAGTCACTCATTAATGTGTGCCATGAGATGAAAAAGGTTGAAAGTCGCTGGTCTAAACTAAGCGGTGGTAGTGCCATTTAGTAAGTAAGCTATTTTACTGGTTTCTTGGTTTTACTGCTCTTGGATTCATTTTCTGGTTTTCCCTTACTGCATCCTCTAGTGTTTCTTCCAGTTAGGTTTCATAAGTGGTAAGACTTTGCTTGCTTGTCTGCATTATTTGGTCCTTACATGAACCATTAATAGCATTTCTCATAGTAAATGTATGGGTTTTATCCTCCACACCAACCAGTTCAATTCTGACACGTGACTACCAAGATGTAACATCAGACCCACAGGTTTAACGGACTGTTCCCCCTTAAGATGCAATCACAAGTCCCAGGCCTTTTGAGTGACTAGCTATAAATTGGACTGCCTCCTGAGGCTTGATAATTTACTGGGACGGGTCAAAATAACTTACTGTTAACAGTTTATTATAAAGGTTAAAACTTAACTCTTCTCACGTCCAAACCTGCTGCGGGCAGCTGCAGCCCCAGAACCCAGGCAGCTCTGGCACACAATGGTCCTTGGTGCCTGGCAGAGCAGCCCTAGTGGTAAACGTCAGAGAAACGGGGAAATCAGAATTCTGAGCCTGGGGCCGGCAGCGACTTTCTATCCGCGAGTTGGAACAGGTCTTGGCAGCTAGGATAGGGAACCATAGAGACGAGCGGCTTCCCAGCTTTCTAGAGAGGAAGCGGTTCACACACTTCCGGCTGAGCGGGGCCGCGCTTCCCTAGAGAGGACCCACGTGTTCCCACGCTTCCCCTGCGCCTGCGCCGCGTGGGTTAATTCAGTTCAAGTCGGGGTTCGCGTCCCGGGTTGGCTAACAGGTTTGTTTGCCGGGCGGGGTGCCGGGTTTTTTAAGCTCTGCCTTTGGGCTGAGGTGGCGGCGGGAGGAATGGGGCCCAGGCGAACAGCACATTGGCAGGGTGCGAGGCAGCATTCATTTTACCTATGGTTCCTTATTTTCTCCCCAGTCTCACTTCTCTGCGCCTGGGGGGCGGTATGGTCCAGGCCACCAGCTGAGCCACATCCTCTCGGCCTCTGTTGATCCCCATCCTTTTGATGTGACAATGTAAGAAGCCTTCAAACTTGTTTATTCAAGCCAAACTGATAAGCATTGACAGGAAGCAGGACCTCAACAGATTGAGAAAATGCCCTGGAAAATGATAGTTTTGCATCTTATTATTTTTAAAATATATTTGTGTGTGTGTGTGTGTGTGTGTGTGTTTTACAGAGAGGGAGAGCTAGAAACATTGATGAAAGAGAAACACTAATCAATCAGCTGCCTCCTGCACACTCCCCACTGGGGAAGTGCCTGCAACCAAGATACATGCCCTTGACCCTTAGGTTCACAGGCCAACCATCTATCCACTGAGCCAAACCGGTTTCGGCGATAACCAATTTCTTGGAAACTGTTGATTTATGTAATTTTCTTATCGAGGTTCAGGCAGGGGGTTATAATCATCGTTGAATACCTGTAGATGAGAAATGGAAGTTTTCCCTTAGCATTTTGAAAAACAATCCCTTTTGCCATGTAGTCTCTTGCCATCTTTGACTCTCCAGCTTCCACGTATGTGTTGTTTTTCCTTCTCCAAAGCCTTTAGGATCTTTTTCATGTTCTCATTTTTCTGAGACTTCCCAATGCTGTGCCTTTGTGTAGATGTTTCTCACTCATTGTCCTAAATAATTTGCAGGCCCTCCCTACTCCCTGGTGCTTTTAAACGGGGAGAATATTTTACCAAAATATCCTGAGCTCATCCTTGGTCCTGTAGTGTGAATTGATCTTTTCGTTCGCGTTCCTTTCTGCCAGCAGTTAAGATTCAGCTTTCTCTGCTTTTCTAATTTAGATACCACCCACCCTTTATGTCCCCCTCCCCACCTCTCAAGTCTGTAACATGGGTCCCAGCTGGCAGGAGCTCCACTCCGACCAGCGACGGCACAGGCAGGGACCCGCCCCAGCCCCGCCCCTTCCGCCGCCGGCCCGGTCACGTGGGGGCGGGCGCGAGGACCATCGAGACTGACGTCCTCCAGCGGCCTAGAGGGGCGCTGAGCGCATGCGCTTGCTTCCGCATGCATCGGCGTTTAGCCGCCAGCTTTTCGCGGTTCGGGGAGGAAGCGTGTGCGTCCCAGCGAGTTCTCCTGTGCCAGGTCCGCCCGGCGCCGCCTCCTCACTTTCCCTGGCGCCCCGTCCGCGTCCGCGCCCCCGCCCCCGCCCCAGCCCCAGCCCCCGAGCTCGGTCCCTTTGGTGGCTGCGCGGCCCCCCGAGCCCGGGTCAGCCCCTGCCCACCGCAGCGCCATCCGCTTCCCCCCCCCCCACCCCCCCCCCCCCCCCCGAAGAACGTGGCCCAACAGACTCTCCTGCGCCCGCTGCTGAGTTTCTGTGTTTGGCGTCTCGGCCGGCATTACCCACTAGAACACTTTTATTCTTTACCCGCAGCCAACCATCCCTGTCCCGCCTTTCCGTAGGCACCTCTTTGGGGTCAATGTCATGGTCCCTGTAAGAGCTTTTTTAATTAAAAAAAATAAATTATATATGTATATTTTTTAATTGACTTTTTTACAGAGAGCAGAGAGTTAGAAACATCGATGGGAGAGAAACATCGATAAGCTGCCTCCTGCACACCTCCTACTGGGGATGTGCCTGCAACCAAGGTACATGCCCTTGACCGGAATCGAACCTTGGACCCTTCAGTCCGCAGGCCGACGCTCTATCCATTGAGCCAAACCAGCCAGGGCTTTTTTTTTTTTTTAGACTTTTAGGTTATTGTAGGGGCACGGCTCGTCTTGGACCTCTGCCATCTGGTGCCCATGGCTCAGCAGACTGGGGGCTGAGCTTGCAGGTGCGGGACCGCGCTGAGGTCCTGGTGGAGCACCTCATGCGGAGGTGGGGGCCAGCAGCCAGAGGGCGTCCGATGGAGCTCCTGCCGGTGCTGGGAGTGAGCCTGGGAGGGCCACAGGCGGCTGCGGGTGATGCAGAACTGAGCACCTGGCACTCATGGCTCTTCTTCTCTTAGCTTCTAAGGTTCTTGCTTTTCCAAACCCAGAGGACAGTGCCCGAAGCCAGGGGACACCAGCCATGCTCCAAACAACTTGGCTTCAGGTGAGCTGAGCTTCCTTTCAGTCTTTTCAAAAGCACATTAGTGCCTGGCTGGCGTTGGCCTTAGGAACCAAGAGGTCAGGTTCCAGGAGATCACGGTTGGATTCCTGATGAGGGCCCTGCCCCCGGTTGTGGACTGGATTCCTGGTGAGGGACAAGCCGGAGGCAGCCGATCAATGATCCTCTCTCATCATTGATGTTTTTGCCTCTCTTCCCCTCTTCCTTCCTCTCTGAAATCACTACAAATTTATTTATTTTTAAAAATATATTTCATTGATTTTTTTTTTTTTTTTTTTTTTTTTTAACAGAGAGGAAGGGAGAGGGATAAAGAGTTAGAAATGTCCATGATAGAAAAACATCGACCAGCTGCACGCCCCCTATTGGGGATGTGCCCGCAACCAAGGTACATGCCTGTGATCGGAATCGAACCTGTGACCCCCAGGCCACAGGCCGACACTCTATCCACTGAGCCAAACCAGTCAGGGCAACAAATTTTTTTTTTTAAATCACCTTTGCCGAAACCAGTTTGGCCTGGTTTCTAACTCTCTATCCCTCTCTCTTCCTCTCTGTAAAAAAATCAATAAAACATATATTAAAAAAAAAAAAAAAGTCACCTTAGCTCTCAGTTCAGAAAGGACTGAGAAGGCCTATCGTGACCAGGCTCTGGTTTTCTCTTTGCGCCTGTCCCCAGGGCGATGGCCGCACATAGCAGGTGGAGGAAAGGAGAGTTTTGTGTGTAGAGAGGGATGAATTTGGATGTGTAGGTTTACGTGTAAGAAGCCTAGAAATCTGCCTTCACTGTGGAAATCTAGATGATGTTCTACAGAGAATAGGCGCCTGCTGAGACCGGAGAAATTCTTCCCCACAAATTGGAAACGTTTCCCAGAGAGAGCAGCATGCCCTTTCTACAGTAAGTGCCGGGTGCATAGTGTTGAATAATGCGCACAAGTTCCCTTTTCTCATTAGCCAAACAGACAGTCTGCAAACAGATACACAAGTTAATACCCATAATTCCATGTTGCAAAAGCACAATGCTTCTCAAGAGCGTGGTCCACTGGCAGTGTGGGCATCACCTGGGAGCTTGTTAGAATTGCAGTCTTGGGCCCCATCCTAGATTCAGTAAAACTGGGGAGGGGAGGAGGATAGCGGGGCCAGGGATCTGTTGTAAACGCCATTCAGGTGATTTTAATTTTACTTATTTTTTAAAAAATATATTTTATTTATTTTTTACAGAGAGGAAGAGAGAGGGATAGAGAGTTAGAAACATCCAATGAGAGAGAATCATCGATCAGCTGCCTCTTGCACACCCCCTACTGGGGATGTGCCTGCAACCAAGGTACATGCCCTTGACCGGAATCGAACCCGGGACCCTTCAGTCTGTAGGCCAATGCTCTATCCACTGAGCCAAACCGGTTAGGACTGTGTGTCTTTTTAAAAGAATATTTTTATTGATTTAAGAGAGGAAGGGAGAGAGAGAGAAACATCAATGGACCTGGGCCCAGAGACAGGGTGCTGCCAGCCTTGTTTGAATGCAGGTGGTTCAGACAAGAGACTGGAAGAGCTAGCTTTTTGATAAAATAATAAGGTATGAAAAGAAATTTGCAAAATGCTAGAAAAACTTTTTTTTAAAAAATATATTTTTATTAATTTCAGAGAGGAAGGGAGAGGGAGAGAGATAGAAACATCAATGATGAGAGGGAATCATTGATCAGCTGCCTCCTACACACCTCCCTACTAGGGATTGAGCTTGCAACCCGAGCATGTGTCCTTGACCAAAATCGAACCTGGGACACAGGCCGATGCTCTATTTATCCACTGAGCCAAACCAGCTAGGGTTGGAAAATTTTTTGAGGATTGGCTCCTCTGTAGAGGGAGCTAGCTGTGTGTACATACTTTCTTATTATTTTTAATGTTAATCTTTATTTTTATTTTTTTAATATATTTTATTGATTTTGTACAGAGAGGAAGGGAGAGAGATAGAGAGTTAGAAACATCGATGAGAGAGAGTCATCAATAAGCTGCCTCCTGCACACCCCCTACTGGGGATATGCCCGCAACCAAGGTACATGCCCTTGACCGGAATCGAACCCGGGACCTTTCAGTCCCCAAGCCGACGCTCTATCCATTGAGCCAAACCGGTCTCGGCTTTAATGTTAATCTTTAAAAAAAAAAAAATCTATTTTTATTGATTTCAGAGAGGAAGGGAGAGGGGGAGAGAGAGAGATAGAAACATCAATAATGAGAGAGAACCACGGAACGGATGCCTCCTGCACGCCCCCTTTGGGGGATCGAGCCCACAACCTGAGCATATGTCCTTGACAGGCATCAAACCCGGGACCCTTCAGTCCGCAGGCTGATGCGCTATTCACTGAGCAAAACCAGCTAAGGCTGTGCGTGTGTATAGTGGTTAGTGTATAGAAATAAGGTGACCAGATTATGGAGTACTTGAGATAGGAGATGCCAGAGGGACAGATCCATAGGGGTTGGTGCAGTCACCAGGCAGAGAGCCCCAGATGCCAGGCTATGAGATCAGGATGACTTAGAACAGAGCTGAGCGGATGGGAGCGTGTTGGGTTTCCATGTTTGAAGTGGAACCACTGGCTAAAAGCCATCTTCTTGATAGAGCAGGCCTTCCACCAGGCTCAGAGTTGGGGGACCCTGCAGTTGAGGCTGCCTCCTTCTGCCCTTCACTCAGAGCTTGAGCAGGAAGCTGTTGTTTCAGGAGTCCGTGACCTTCGAGGACGTGGCTGTGTACTTCACCCAGAGCCAATGGGCCAGCCTGGACCCCGCGCAGAGGGCCCTGTACCGGGAGGTGATGCTGGAGAACTATGCCAATGTGGCCGCCCTGGGTAGGTCTCTCGGCGGCGCTCTGTGATAGTGGGACATCTTCCTCAGGTATTTGGGGGGATCCTGGTAGCTCTTGGTTGGATGACTCCAGCGGGGAGTTCTGCAGTCCCAGCCTCTGGAGATGCTGGGTGGGGAGATCCCCGGAGCCTTTTGGTTTTAAAAACGAGACTTTCTTCCATCTCTGGGAAGAGTGAGGTTCTGGGCACCGAGCGGAAGGACTTCCTGGTGCCCTCAGTGACCTGTTCCTCCATTCTTCCATTGTCCTGGGGTTGTGGGTCCTCCCCTCTGAGAAGGAGTCTCCCAGGCTCTAAGGGCATATATATCCTTCCTGAGGGGTTTTCCTCTCTAAGAAGTCTAAGGGCAAGGTTGAAATTTCCTTGGAGAATGGCTCTCCTCTTGTCATTCCCCTGGACTGCTTCAGAGTCCATCCTCAGAACCACTTGGTCTCCTAGGCCAGTGGTCAGCAAACTGCGACTCGCAAGCCACATGCGGTTCGTTCTTTGGCCCCTTGAGTGTGGCTCTTCCACAAAACACCACGGCCTGGGCGAGTCCGTTTTGAAGAAGTGGCGTTAGAAGAAGTTTAAGTTGAAAAACTTTGGCTCTCCAAAGAAATGTCAATTGTTGTACTGTTGATATTTGGCTCTGTGGACTCATGAGTTTGCCGACCACTGTCCTAGGGGGTCCGTTTCTCTTCCCTCCCAACTAGCCCATTAGGAACTGGGCCAAGAGAGAGCTCAGGAAGAGGTCTGGACGTCTCCTTCAACTAGTCTGTCTGTTTTCTTCCTGAAGTAGCATTTCCAGCCCCCAAGCCGGATCTCATCTCCCAGCTGGAAAGCGGGAGCGCACCCTGGGGCCCCGATCCTTGGGAGGCAGAGGATTGGAGAGGCATCTGTCCAGGTGAGTAAGAGAATACAGCAGCTTCTGGCTTGGCCTTCCAGGTTTACTGGAAATGTTCCTTCCGCAGCAGAAAACAAAGCTCCCTGTTGTCTGTAAGGCAGCAGTCGGTGCACTCTGACCGCCACTGAGTTCCAGCCCCGAGCCCAGAGAGGCCAGTCCCCGGACCACTTGGCCGCACACTGTCTGCACGCACGTGTGGCTGTGCTCCGGCGGAAAACTGTGGCCCGGGAGCTCCCGAGCCACTTCCTTTCTCACCAGTGGAAATATTTAATTTCATGCCAGTTTTCATGACAGAGGAGTGGGGTTTCTGCCATACTTTAAGGAAAATTTGATTCTGTGGGTCAACCTGATTTCTTTGTGCCCCGGCTATGAATTTTATTTTAATTTGCCTTTTTTTGGTGCACTTTAAAGATTCCTGTGCCATAGGATTTGGGTTTACATTGTACTGTCCGATATGGGGTTGGATAGGAGAAGGCCAGGAGCACTCCCCCGCCACGGCACCCGGCACACACACAGCACAGCCTCTCCTGTCCCAGGGACTGCTTCCCAGTCTCGGGAGCTTTTCAGTTCTCTTCGCTTTTGAGAGACAGTTTCAGACCCCACTTCTCACATGGACTGTGATTTTGTAATTAATGGCTTGTTTAGCAACGATGCCACTGTGGCCTACAGCTCTCCAACTTCTGTTTCAGCTGATTTTTTGGTACAACTCTTTTATCTCAGGATATTACATGGGAACATTCAAAAATGGAACTTTGAGGCCATTATTTAGAATTTGGAATTCGGGTGGTTTCCTGGCCGGTAGGGGGGCGCATTATGATCTGTTGTTTGCTCACTTGTGTTCCCAGCTTCTGCTCTGCCTCATCTTTTTTTAATCCTCACCCAAGGCTATTTTTCCACTGATTTTTAAAAAATACATTTTTATTGATTTCAGAGAGGAACGGAGAGGAGAGAGACAGATAGAAACATCCATGAGGAGAGAGAATCATTGACTGGTTCCCTCTTGCATGCCCTCTAATGGGGATCAAGCCCGCAGCTCTGGCATGTGCCCTTGACTGGAATTGAACTTGGGATCCTTTAGTCCACAGGCTGACGCTCTGTCCACTGAGCCAAACCAGCAAAGGCCCGTTGATTTTTAGAGAGTGGAAATAAGAGGGAAGGACAGAGAGAAATGTTGATGTGAGAGAAACACATTGGTTGGCTGCCTCCTACATGAGTCCCGACCAGGGCCCAGGCCAGGGAGGAGCCTGCACCCCAGGCATGTGCCCTTGACCGGAATCAAACCAGGAACCCTTTGGTACTCAGGCCGATGATCTGTCCACTGAGCCAAACTGGCTAGGGCTCTCTCCCATTCTTGAGTTCTCATTCTGCCGATCTTACCTGCCTTTGTGCCCCCAACTCCAGGCTTCCTTACAGGAGGCACTTCCTGTTTCCTATGTCATTACTTCTCCAATTGTATGTTACGACAGTACTTTCCTTTTTCTCTCTTGTCCTCCTTTATGGACGCTTAGAGCCATTTCATGGGTATGTATCTTAAAAATCGCGTCCTACAAGAGAGAATCAGGACCCCATGGATTCTGCTTTCTGTCCAGCGCAGTAATTTGGAGTGCTCATGGTTGCTTTGGTCAGGTGACGAGTCCTGGATCAAAGAGGAAGAGCCTGCTGTGAAGCAGGAAGCCTCCGGAGAAGCAGAGCAACTCAGAGTGCCGGGAGGTGGACTCCGAAATGTGTCTCAGCACCTTGATTTTAAAAGCAAGGCCACGTGGCCAAGTTTCAGCCTGAATCCGAACCTGATTCTTCGAGGGGGGATGAAGTTCTATGAGTGCAAAGAATGTGGGAAAATCTTCAGGTACAACTCCAGGCTCCTTCGGCATCAGATGAGCCACACCGGGGAGAAGCCCTTCAAATGTAAGGAATGCAGCAAAGCTTTCAAGTCCAGCTACGACTGCATCATCCACGAGAAGAACCACGTCGGCGAAGGGCCCTACGAATGCAAGGAGTGCGGCAAAGGCTTGAGCTCCAGCACCGCCTTGACTCAGCATCAGAGGATCCACACGGGGGAGAAGCCCTACCAATGCAAGCAGTGCGGCAAGGCCTTCCGCAGGAACGCAGCGTGCCTCCAGCACCAGCGGCTGCACACGGGGGAGAAACTCTACGAGTGCAAGGAGTGCTGGAAGGCCTTCGGCTGCCGGTCTGTGTTCATCGTCCACCAGAGGATTCACACCGGGGAGAAGCCCTACCGGTGCCAGGAGTGTGGCAAGGCGTTCACGCAGAAGATAGCCTCCGTTCAGCACCAGAGAGTTCACACGGGGGAGAGGCCGTACGAGTGCAAGGTGTGTGGGAAGGCCTTCAAGTGGTACGGCAGTTTTGTGCAGCATCAGAAACTGCACCCCGTGGAGAGAAAGCCCGGCCTGGCCAGTCCCCAGGGCTCCTCTTCAGCCTTGTCGCCGGGTCCTCCCGCTGTGGCCACGCCCTCACTGACCTTTCCGCAGGCTGTGCTCCTTCCTGCCTCGGGGCCTTTGCTCATGCTGCTGCCCACATCCGGGATGCCTCCGCCCCCTGTCCAAATAGTGCAGGTCTTCCAGGCCCTCGCTCCCATTGTCAAGCCCTCCCCAGTCCATCTCTCTTCTCGCGAGCTTCATCTTGCCACGCCTGCGGCTCTCAAGCCCAGCAAAACTCTCATTTGAGTTTCATTTGTATTTTTTTTTCCCCCCTCACCTTACATGTGTTTCAGCGGTTTCAGCACACACTGCATTGTAGTCTGTCTATACATTTAAAGATTGTGTTTATATAATATGTTTTCTTTTGGGGATGGAAATACTTGATCTTTGCCTTGGCCCCTTTCTGGCTTGAATAGTAGTGGCTGTATCTGTCTCTGTATTGTAGGGGTGCTGGTTGGACACTGGAGGGTTAGAGAAGTTTGGGAGAGAGCACATCCCCGTGTCTGGCCATTAAGAGAGAAGCAACCTGAGAGAAATGGAGGAGAGTAAAGAATTGTAATAAATATGCAACAGCAGACTTTGGACATGAACGCAGATTGTTTAGAATAGTGCCAGATGGTGCAGTAATGCAGTTGAAGTTGCCTTGTGCTCGGCTCGGATCACTGAGGATCTCATACATCTATGCCCCAGCTCATGGGAAAGAACCAGTTTGTTTTCGTGCCTTCCCCCAAACCAGTGTCCATCGTGGTGAGACTGAGAAGCAGGCTGGCAGAGACCTCCAGGAAGCATCAGCAGACCTGAACGTAAAGTGCTGCCTGCTCCTTAGCGACAGAGCAGTTCTAAGATAAAGTGGTGCTTCCCTAACACTAGTGACATTCACAACAGTTGACGCCACCCTGGTGGGTCCATTAAACAAACCCACTCATCCGTTCTCTTAAAGATATTGGGTGTCGCCTGTGTGCCAGGCACTGTCGGGAAACCAGGGAAATGATGGTGGATGTCTTGAATCTTACAGTTATTTGGGGAAGACGGTGGGAGAGACGCTTTAACAAGTGATTCCAATGTGAAGGAAATGTATGGGGTGTTGTTCGAGAATCCTGAGGGAAAAGCAAAGGTCCTGAGGTAGGCAGTCACGTGGCTCATCTCAGATGCTGAAAGAAATCCAATCTGGCAGGGTAATAAGTGAGGGATGGAGAAAACAGTGTAACATGGAGTCGTTTTGCTAGCACACCCCCGCTTACTCGTCGCACGGAGATTCTTCACGGTCCACCCTAGAGCAAATAAATGTGGCCCAGATATCTTACCCAACCATTTCATTTTGAAATTGTTAAACTGTAGAAAAGTTGAAAGGATGGTACAATGAACACCTGTATACCTTCCCTATAGATTAAACAACTGTTAACATTATTTTCACATTTGCATTTTCTACCTTCATACGTACGTATGTATAGTTTCCTAACTCATGTCAAAGTAGGTTGCAGGCATCAGATACGGCTTCCCCCCCCCCCCCCCCCCCGACTTCTTCAGCTGTCTCCCCTGAGAATTTAAGGCAATCCTCCCACATAATCATAGTAGCATTCTCACACCCAAGAAAATGTACCACAATGTAGGGGTACCATCTGATTTACAGTCCATTAAAAAATCTCTCCTGATTTCCTCCATACCTTTTCTAAAGCTGATTCCCCCCCCCCCCCAATCCAAGCTCCAATGTAGATTTTCCATGGATTTGGTTGTTACATCTTTTCTAGAACAGTCCCCTGATTCAAAATGAGCCCTAACCGGTTTGGCTCTGGATAGAGCGTCGGCCTGCGGACTGAAGAGTCCCAGGTTCAATTCTGGTCAAGGGCATGCACCTTGGTTGCAGGACATCCTCAGTAGGGGGTGTGCAGGAGGCAGCTTATGGATGTTTCTGTCTCATCAATGTTCTGAAATATCCCTTTCCCTCTCTGTAAAAAAATCAATAAAATATATATTTAAAAAAAAAACCCAAAATGATACTGTTTAAAAGTTGCTTTACATATACTGAGGTATATTTTTCGCATATAGGATACACCCGTTTCAGGTATACAATTCAGTGATTTTTTTTTAATTTTTTTTATTATTTTTATTTTTATTTTTTATTTTTTTAAATATATTTTATTGATTTTGTACAGAGAGGAAGGGAGAGAGATAGAGAGTTAGAAACATCAGTGAGAGAGAGTCATCAATTAGCTGCCTCTTGCACACCCCCTACTGGGGATATGCCCGCAACCAAGGTTCATGCCCTTGACCGGAGTCGAACCCGGGTCCTTCAGTCCCCAAGCCGACGCTCTATCCATTGAGCCAAACCGGTTTCGGCTCAGTGATTTTTTTTTTAAAGTAACATTAAATATGACCACAAATCAGTGTAACATTTTCATCTAGTAAGGTCCCTCCTGCCCAAGAAACCACTAATCTACTTTCTGTCTCCATAAATCTTTTTATGAACAGTTGCTATTTTTTATTTAAAAAGTTTTTAAAATTGATTTCAGAGTAAGGAAGAGGGAGGGAGGGAAAGAGAGAGAGAGAAAGAGAGAGAAACATCTATAAGAATCATTGATTGGCTGCCTCCTGTACGCACTCTACTGGGGATTGAACCTCAACCCAGGCATATGCCTTGACCAGGCCGGTGACCTTCTGGTTCATAGGTTGATGCTCAACCACTGAACCACACTGTCTGGACAACAGTTTCTATTTTTAAAAAGTGCTTTTGGGCTTTCGAGCACAATATGATGTCCATGCTTAGCTGGTACTTTCCAGCCCTAGCCCTGGAATCAGCCATTTCTCCAAGGAGTCCTGATGCAGGACATAATATTTACAAACCAGGAGCTGGGGACCAGATGTCTTACAGGATCTTGAACATGGATGGCCCGAGGATGGGATTTGTACATGTTTGCTAGTTCAGGGCGGGGGGCTGTTGGGCATTCACCTGGATCTCTGTGATCTTGGTGCTAAAATATGACAAGAGGCATTGATTTTGGTTCTTATTTGAACTTGTCGCCATTATGGTGTGCGTGTGTAAGAAAAGAGTAAATAATCTTTGATTGGCTGCCATGTCCAATACATTTGATTTCCAGATAACTGACATGTTGAAGGTTTTCAGTAAGTGCTTTTTAAATAAATTACCAAAGCATCTTTATATAAATAGTTATTGCCTTCATCATAATTCATATATACCTCACCTCCTCAAATAATTCAATTTGTTTCTATTGAGATGTAGTTTAATGTCACCAGAAGGCTAAGCAGTAAATACTGTAAATAGAGATTCATGAGCTATAAATTGTAAATCAGGCCTCATTATGTATTAAAATGCATTGTAATATCTGTGGATCCTAGTTTGTTTATAAATGGAAGAAATTATTGCCATAATTATAGGATTACAGCAAAAGTGATCATAATACAATAAGTGGATATTGGTAGATAAATGTTTGTCACCAGCAAAAGGGAAGTGAACAATGTGAAGAGCAATAAGTTTAATCTTTCTTTGTTAGTACAGAAAGGGGCAAAATTCAGCATTGTTTATAAACTTTTACCTGTGCCTAGATTTTAAGCAAGTGGCATTTTAAAATATATATATATATTTATATTGATTTCAGAGGGGGGAGATAGAAACATCAATGATGAGAGAGAATCATTGCTTGGCTGCCTCCTGCACGCCCCACACTGGGGACCAACCCCACAACTGTTCATGTGCCCTGACCAGGAATCGAACCGTGACCTGGTTCATAGGTCGAAACTCAACCATTGAGCCACAGAAGCCAGGTGAGATAGTGGCATTTCTAAGAAAGAGTGAATTTATCATCTTGGAGAGCTCAGCAAGCATTAGCCATGGAAGCAAAGGGTAGGGAAAAAGATGGTTGGAGTTATTTTAGTTCTAGATGTATGTATACCCAGCCTCCTCAAATAATTCAATTTGTTTCCTTTGAGATTGATTTGAGAGGTCTGACCTTTCTGGGATGCCAGTAATCCAGAGGGGATGGAGCCCTGTTCAGGTCTCCACCCTCATTTTCACCCCATTTGACAAGAGATTCACACAGGCCCCAATTTGTTAAGTTTCCACATTTGGTCCTCTCCCTCCTCTTTCTCCTCTTCCTCCTCCTCTTCCTCCTCCTCCCCCCACCCCCCATCTCTAAATACTTCCATGGGTATATCCAAGAACAAGAATCTTTTCTTAATGTAACTTTAATATAGTCATCAAATTCATGAAATTTAACATTGATCTACTATTTTCTACTTTATATTAAAATTTTTGCCAACTATCCCATTAACATTGTTTACAGCTATTTGTATTTCTCTCCAGGATCACAGATTACATTTAGTTCTCATGTCTAGGGCCCTTTGATTTAGAACACGTCCTCAGCCTGCCTGTGTCTTTCGTGACTTCGACTTTACCTAGTTTGGGTTTGTCTCATGTTTCCTCATTATTAGATTCAGATTATGCATTTTGGCCACAATGTCGCAGAAGGGATAATGTGTCCTCAGTACATCGTATCTGGAGGCATGCCTTGTGGGTTGATTTCATTGTTGAAAATAAGGACGTTGACCATTTGGTGAAGGTGGTGTTGATCAGATTTTCCACTGTCCAATTACTCTTTTTCCCTTTTGTGGTTCATAAATAGTACTTTGGTGGGAGGTATTTTGAGTTTATGTAACTATACTCCTTAGCAAACTCTCACCTAGTCTTGCCTGAGTCATACCCTACATTTTAAATGAAGATGGTATGGATCCAGCAGCAGCATCTGTGAAGCAGAAGAGAGCACCTGGGTCAAGTTTCATGATGCTGTTAAATTATCTTCGGCAGGTGAAGTGGCTGCGGAGTGCCAGCATGCTTCACACTCTTTATTCAGGAGACTGGCAGCCCAGCCAACCAGGTGAGAGCTGCCAGATATTTTTAAACAGAGCTATAAACAACACCAGCGGAAGATAGAATACATTCAGGCTGAGCCTGGGGTCTCTGAGTGATGGCTCAGAGACCCCAGGCTCAGGTGATGGCTCTCCTGTGACTCAGGGCCAGGTTGACCCTGTAGGTGACCCGTCACTATTCTTAGGACTGGGAAGACCCTTCATCCCTCTGTCGAGTTCCTGAATATTTATTTTCAAATTCTACTTAGTTTCTAAAGCTGAAGTCCTTTCCTAGGGAGAAGCTTCACCTCTCCTCCCGCTCCCCCCCTCTTTTTTAAAAAATATGTATTTTATTAATTTCAGAGAGGAAGGGAGAGAGAGAGAGATTCATCAATGATGAGAGAATAATTGATCAGCTGCCTCCTGCATGCCCTACACTGGGGATTAAACTCAAAACCCGGGCTTGTGCCCTGACCAGGAATCAAACTGTGACCTCCAGGTTGGTAGATTGTTGTTCACCCACTGAGCTACACCGGCTGGGCAGCCTTCACCTCTTCCTGAAGAATCCTTGGGTATATAAGGAATGCGTACTGGTCGTATCCACCTGCCCCTCCATCACCAGGCAGTGAAGGGCTGAGGGTCCCTGGCTTTTCCGGCTCAGCGGGGCTTGGGCTTCCTCTGTCTCCCTGCATACGGTGCATTTATTCCTCTCCAGAGCGAACCTTTGCTTTATATTTGTTGGTCCTGTGCGGTACGGTCCCTCAACACACACAGCACAATGAAAAATGGTGCCTCCCGCGGAAGATCCCGAATGGGGTGATTTGTCAGTGACAAAGTCCTGCTGGGCTTTTCTGAGTAGTTGTGGCTCCGGATGGAGTTCTTCTCGCAGCTAAACAGCAGTGCAGTTATTCATTTAGTCACCAGCAGAGAGAACCAGTGCCTGCGGGCTTGTACAAAGATTCAAGTTCAAGGAGAGTCTTCATTGCGTTGGCCGTCAAGAGAGCTGGGTGGCCAGTGTACATGTTACTCAAATTAAGGAAAGAACTGCTATGCCGGTAAGAGGCCAAGCCTAGTTTTTGCTGAAACAGAATTAATATCCAATGAGATGCACGTATCTTGAGCCTGTGGTGAGTTTCGACCATTATATACACTGTGTACCATCACCAAAATAAAATAGAGAACATTTCAAATATCCAGAGAGTTCCGGTCAGCACCCAGCACTCAGAGGCAGGGACCGTTCTGGTTCCCATCGCCCTCTTTCCTTGCAAGCTGGCCACTGTTCTAACCTGTAGCTCAAAAGACTGGTTGTGCCTTGTTTTGATCTTCATATAAAGGGAACCATGCAGTATGCACTGTTTTTGGGGTCTAGTTTCTAGACTCAATATTTTTGTATGAGATTCATCCATGTAGTTGTCACGTTTTAAAAACTGCCGTGCCTAAACCGGTTTGGCTCAGTGGATAGAGCGTCGGCCTGCAGACTGAAGGATCCCGGGTTCGATTCCAGTCAAGGGCATGTGCCTTGGTTGCGGGCACATTCCCAGTGGGATGTGTGCAGGAGGCAATTGATGGATGTTTCTCTCTCATCGATGTTTCTCTCTATCCCTCTCTCCCTCTTTGTAAAAAAATCAATAACATATAAAAAAAATTGCTGTGTACTATTTCCCAATATTACCTTGAAGCAAATTGCAGACATCATATTCCATCTATAAATATTCAATAGGCAACTCTAAAAGACAGGTAGTCTAAAAAGACCCTGCAGCCCAGTTGGTGTGGCTCAGGGATTGAGCGTTGACCTATGACCCATGAGGTCACAGTTCAATTTCCTGTCAGGGCACATGCCCAGGGTGGGGCGTGTAGGAGGCAGCCAATCAATGATATTCTCTCATCATTGGTGTTTCTATCT